GAACTGACTATAGGCTTAAGTTTTGATTCCTTTGTGTTATTTTATGCACTCTGGGATACTGATCCTTGGTGAAAATCTGACGTGGCTTTGACTTGTTCACCATGAAATCCTTCCCTGTTGATCCTTAGGGCTTTGGTGAGAAAAGGGTGTGTGTGCAGCTGTCTCAAGGGTCATTTTACTGATGGTCTGGGCAAAGACAAAGGGCCGTGACCCAAGAAGACCTTCCTAATTTGTGTGAACGAACCAAACCGTGCACTTCCCTCCTCTGTGTGCCTTGGAGACCAGCGTGAGGTTCCTTTAGCTGGGATTAGCAAACCAGCACCCACCCCACGTAATGGCACAACTACTCTGCGCTTCCTTGAGCCGTGCAGTGACTGTAGTGATGATCGCAGCTGCCAAACGTGACCTGATTTAGCCAAATAAATTTTTATTAGAGAACAGAGGGGGAACTTGACCCTTTCCTAAAAGGGTGGAAAAGCCCACTCCTTTGGAGGTGCTTGAAGCTTCACAACCAGGAGGCTGTCTGTTGTAGTTAGCTTTTTATTGCTTGTTATCTACAGTGGCTGGGTGGATAGGGGGATTGTTGTGAGCCAGCAATGAGGTAAAACTGACGCTTTGCAGTTTCCTTTGAACGCGAATTTTCCTTCCCGAGGTGGAGTGTCGCGCCCCCCCCCAACATGGCGGCACCGTCCCCCTCAGGGCCAGGACTACAACTCCCGGCCTGCCCCGCGGCCCCTCCGGCTCCCGCCTTGCCCCGCTCACCAACCGCCTCCATTTGAACCATGGCGGCTGTGGCGCCCATGGTGGTGGAGGTGCTGCCCGAAGCCTGGCGCCTCTACCTCGTCCCCACCCGCGTCGCCACCTTCCGCAACTGGCCCTTCACCGAGGGCTGCGCCTGCACGCCCGACAGGGTGAGCCCGGGGGCGGCGGGGGGGCGAGGGGCGGCGGCTGGCAGCGGCTCCCGCTGACGCCCCCCCCCCCCTTTTCTCCTTTTCTCCTTCTCCCCCTGGCCGCAGATGGCGGCGGCCGGCTTCGTGCACTGCCCCAGCGAGAACGGCCCCGACGTGGCGCAGTGCTTCTTCTGCCTCAAGGAGCTGGAGGGCTGGGAGCCCGACGACGACCCGCTGTGAGGAGCGGGGCCGCTGCCCCGGTGGGGAGGGAGCGGGGAAGGGGAGGGAGCTGGGGGGGGTGTGAGCGGTGCTGGCAGCCCCCCGGGTGGGTTCCTGCTGTTGTGTTGTAGGGAGGAGCACAAGAAGCACTCCGCCGGCTGCGCGTTTGTCGCCCTACAGAAGGATCCCGCCAGCCTGACGCTGCAGGAGTTCCTGAAGCTGGACAAGGAGAGGATGAAGAATGCGATTGTATGTAAACGTTGTCCGTGCCCTCTGAGGCTGGAAGTGGTTCAGTGTCATGTCTCAGGGCTGTTTACCTGGCCTCTCACTTCCCTATTGCACCACTGCCAAACTAGCTTGGTGCTTCTAGGGTTCCTTTTGGCTCAGATGGCTTGTTCTCCGCTGGTTCTCAGCCTTTGCCACACCAGAGACACAGCCCGCTCCCTCCCTGAAATCTAACTGACGCTCAAAGCAGCGGCAGGCAGTGACTTTTATTTTTTTGTTTGCAGAAAAAACAAATTTCGCAGAAGGTGACCGAGGTTGAAGACACTGCCAAGTCTGTGCGTCGTGAAATAGAGAAGCTGGCCTCCTAGGCTGCACCAGCCTCTGCCATCCGTCTTGTGTACGGCCTGTGACACTGCCACATCCACTGAACAACTGTTTCCTGGGACCACTTTTGTAACAGCCACACCTGTGAGAAGCGTAACAACTCTGGATGCTCCTTCTCTCACTTGAGTCTGTCCAGGAAGTACCTGGGATCTGATGCACTGCATAGATAATATTCTTCTGCAGGGATTCCCCTATTCTTCCAGTTAGTTTAATTTAGGAGTGTTTAAAAGCTTGTGTTTTCGTTTGTTCTTAATTTCTTTTGTAAACCTAGTTGTTCCTATTTTGGAGGGTACTGGTAGCCTTGCTGCAAAAACTTGTGTTTCTTGCAAGAGTTGGCAGACACTTCCATTTCTTTTACTGAATGTACCAATGAATATGGGTAACTTTTAAAACAAAAAAGGGGAAGGACCTTAAAAAAACTCCTTCAGGGATTTAGGATTGTGTTGGCTAATGATGTCTAGCAATGTACCAAATCTTAGTGTGCTTAGTGTCCTCATGAACTTCTGGTTTTATCTGTCTGCTGCCTCATGGTGATGCGTTTATAGTTAAAAGTGGAGGGCAAAATAGCGAAGTAATTTTATTTAATTCTCTGGAGGAAAAAAAATATTGACCTTTATTACAATGAGCTACACTAAATGCAGTTTTAACTTCAAAATGGAAAATAACCCCATCAAAGTACAGTTTGTAGTGCTGTTGCTCAAGTGTCAAACCGTCAGTTAGTATTCACTATGTGGCCTTAAAATGTTTTAATGCCTTGGAAGATAAGGTTGAACGTTCTCCTTGTGCGTGCTTGGAAATGAAAAGAAACCTCACTGAACAGAGTACAGGTAGTGAAGAATTGTGCTCTGAACTGCTGGGAAAGAGTGGCAGAATGTTGTATGAAATAAGCAGCTGTTAGAGAGTCAGAGTTGATTGCATGGTTCAGCAAAGTCAGTAGACAGAACTGGACTTGTGGGTTTAAGCTCTCCCAACCTCAAAGAACTTCAGGCTCCATTTTGGAGAGAAGGCCGTCACGATCAAACACTGATGAGAGCAATGCTCCTGGGTTTCGTAAGTTCGTCCAACATTCCCTCTCCGAGCTTACTTGCGAACAATGAAATCACTTCATTATTTCCATCTGTAACAGCCAAATCATATGCTGATTGCCCTTTTGTATTCTTCTTTTTTATGCTTGCATTGCAGCTGTAAATAAAGAACAGATTGTGTTAAGCTACTTAGATTCATTTCAAGTTACTGGAGTTAGTAAAGTTGCTTCTAGGTAAATGTTGATGTGGAGTTGCTGCAGATTCCTGGATGCCTCTTCCTGCAAGGACAGCTGCGATGAGGGCGCTGAGGCTGGGGCAGGCTCTGGTCCTTCAGATCTGTGCAGGTGGGCTGTGGGTGGGTGCCCAGCTGCACACTTACCGTAGCAGGGCTCGGACGCACTCCTCTCCCTCTAATCCAAGCAGAACGGCCTCGTGGAGGGCGGTGTTGTTGTACCTGCATGGGAGGAATCAGCAGTGTTCTTATACTGAAGGAAACCATCCGGGTACATAAAGGAATGGTATAGAAAATGAGTAGGAAGATAAAAAAGTAGTCACAGTGATCTTTCATAGGCTTTGGTGTGTGAATTAAGTTAATGGGAAAAGGAATTGAATAGAACAGCATTTTTAACTGAAATAACACCTCTTTGGTAAAACTTCAAAAGACCCGAGGTACAGAGTCACTGCTCACTTACAGTCCTGACTGCTGGTCAACGTGAGCACCTTTCTGCACAAGAAGAGGGATCGCTTCTGCATGCCTGTTAAGGACAGCCACTGTCAGGGCAGGTCGGTCGTCATCGCCGGTGCAGTTTGGGTCAGCGCCCTGGGATGCGCAGGAGAGGGAAGGTAAGCTGTTACAAGCCGTAAAGGTTCTTCAGCTTCCATCTGGCTTTAACACCAATTTATGTTGGCAAATGGTCTTTGTTTTCAAGGGAAAAAATACTCAAATTGTGGAATTGATTCCTCATGTTTCTTCTGAAAATGGTTGCTAGCTCAAAACCGGAGTATGTGTGCATAGCAAGGACAGTCAAACTAGATTCCCGTGGTCAAGATGCTCTTGCTGCACAGCCAAAACATAGAGGTTGTGCTTTATTTTGCTATACAAAAGACTTTACCCTAAACTACATTATTCATATATTTTTTTCTTTCTGCGTGGCTTTGCCAAACCCAGAGAAGGATGCCCTAAACACCTGTAAAACAGAAACTGGGACGATAAAATAACTGTAAAGTATTTTTTCCTCATTTAAAATGCTCTTTCAACCTAAAGATTGCTGTACTGCTTGGATGCTGCCCCCTAAGCGTGAGATTGAAGTCGTGTGCCAGGCTGACGTTAATTGCAGTAAATGGTCGAAGAGCTGTAAGGTGAAGCAGTAACTTACTTCTCTGAGCAACCGTTCTATCAAAGTGATTCTTCCTTTGCCATGGGGACCCAGTTCTTCCAGCAGTTGTCTGGACTCTGGCTGTGGAAGCACAGAAAACAGCCGCTAAGATTTCATGCAGGGAAAATACAAGTGGGCTCTTCTTGCATTTGACTAAAGGTTGGAAATGCACACAATGGCATGAATGCAGCTGAGGGGACAATGCCATATAGCTGAGCTTCAGTATTACCCATGACCCTTCTGTGTGAATTTTGGATTCTGAGCAAATGTTGGATAACCTAGGCTATTATCTCAAGTCTTGAATCTGCAAATTATCAGCTTTACATCGATACACCTATGTCTGAGGCTTCTAGAACCAGTGGAAGTGTTTTATTTAGAAATTTAACATACTTGCCTTGCAGAAGTTAGTTAACCAAATCTTAAAACCAGAAATATATATATATATTTTTTCTTATTTTCCCATCCTTCTACCTCCTTCTTTTCCCCTTTCAAAAGCCCAATAGCTTGGCCAAGCATTTTTCTCTGGACTATCACAAAGCTCTACATCTTCTACTCATTGAGTTAGCGAAGTGATCCAAACCTAGATAACAGCACATTGCACTTTTCAAACATTCTCTGCCATTACTGACAATGTTAATTCAGCAATGCTTCCAGGATGTTTGGTCTCTAGTGGAAATAAAGCTTGCTTCTTGCATTAAGGTATCCCATACTTGTGCTGGCACTTCAGCTTGATGAAAAAACAGAGCTGACCTAAATAAAAGCTTGCTTTTTTAGGTATGGGTTTCGTTCAGCCAGACTGTGCAAATGGCAGCTATGACACAGCTAAGGTTATGTCCTGTGGAGTCAGAGCCAGGTGTCAAGGGAAGATGGCAACACCTCCTTCTGGTGCTGCTTCTTAGAAAAACTTGTAACAAAATCAGTCTGCAACAGCTTAGACCTGGTGCTGTGTCATTAAAACAGAATGGATCAAAAAACAAGGAGAGCCATCTAATTAAGCTCTTGGTAAGAACAAAGCTTGTCTATTTCCAGTTTTGCAATAAATGTCAGCCATCGGTTTTTCAGGTTTTATATTAAGTTGGACTTTTGTTTGTTCCCCCCCCGCTTCCCTTGTTAGTGTTAAAAGCTTTCTATTTTTATCCTTGGATGCCCTCCTTCATATTAGTGCTGCTCTATATCTATTTCTTTTATTTTTCTGTACCAGCAGAAGATATTTACAGGGAGCTTATCTTCTTTTTCTGTAAGTGTTCTTGACTTTGTTCTCTTTATTTTGCCTCTTGAATGTGAAAGATCGTGATCTTCTTTGCCTACCAGAAAGGGAAACAAGCAAACAATTCAAAGTCGGTATCCTAACAAGAACTCGGGGGGAGAAAAATCTGGAAATAATTTATCCAAAAAATATTTTATTTTGTGCTGAAATGAAGGCAATATTTATAAATTTTCTACAAGAGAAAGTGATGAAATATTTGTTGCAGATCAGACTGGTTTTAACAAAAGGTTTGCACTCAAGCAGACTTAGAAACTTGCTATTTGGAAGTTAAGATTCAATGAAATGTAGAGTTCTGGGGGTTTGAGTCTTTTAACTAGCTGCAGCTATTCAACAGGCTTGACTTGGATTCATGAATTGTTTTGACCAAAAACCTCACAATTCTTTCAATGCTGTTTAGTTCCCAGATATTTAAGAACAAGACTAGAGGACCTTTAGTAGATATGCATGTCCATTATTTTTAAGACACGCAATCTACCGCTGCGCAGGAGGACTGATAAATTGTGAAGCATGTGGGGACCCTGTGAGTTGGTGCTACTGGAGCCTGGAAGCACAGCCACATCATTGGCAGTCTGGAAAACCAGCTCCAACTGCTGTTTGCAAAGTCTCACAGTAGAAGCACAAAGTGGCCTCAATATGTACGTGAACTGAAATGTCAGCTGACACCCGAGGCATTTCTGCTTTCTAATGCTGAATTTACAAATAATTTATGCAATGGAAACCAAAGTCCCGTATGAGTTGCCTTAAAGGCTGAGCAGCTACTGACATCAATGGGAAATGCATAGTAAGCATCTCTGAAAACTAGAATTGATGTATTTCAGCATTTCTTATCTTTACGAAATGTACCAATGCTGAAGTCCCTGGCATAGCTCAAATGTAGATGATATTGGTGCTTATGGCTTGTATTGGTAAAGAATATGCAGAGCATGTTTATCGCTAGAATAAAAACACTGCACTGAGCAGTGGCTGCAGTTTAGTGACCTCTCCAGCTGTCCTCTAGAGATGAATCATACCCACAAGCTTTTGCCAGTCTGTGTATTGCTGAAATCACAACTCAAACACATTTTGAGACTTAAAGATCAACTTCGGAAGGTGCAGAATGTGCCAATTTATTAATGTGCCTGTCCCAGTCTGTAAGCACTAGTTCCCTGTTCTTGACTACGTTTGTTATATCATAAAGACAGAAAAAGAATCTCACCAAAACTAGTCTGGCTGCCATCCAGATCATCTCTGTCTTCTGTTACGCTATTTAGGTAATGATTATTGAATTTCACTGGTTTACTGGTATGAATATCCTGTAGGATCATCAAAATGCAGGAAGCTGATCAGACTATCATGCAATGCTGTTATAAACTCAGAAGCACAAAACAATAAAAAATTATATAGGCTTTAAATCAGTCTCAAATTAGCATAAAACATGATCATCTGTAATTAAACTCTGTTTTGACACAACATAATGTACTGTTTTTTCCTAAACTACGTGTTAGTTTGTTTTGATTTTTTAGAAACTAATACAACCTCACTGAAAAAAAGATTCGATTCTCATCCAAGTGGAAGTGCCACTGCCAGCTGAGAAATCTGACTAATTCCTCACTTGTGAAATGATGTGATACTCCTTTTCAGGCACCATTTGGCAAGGTAAGCTTTTTAAGATTCTACACAACAGATACAGTCTTAATTTTGGATCTTTGAAATGGCAGATTTTCCTCTTTGAAAAGCTGGAAATGAATACGTGGGTGTTTTTTTTTTTGGAACGTGGTGATTCCGGAGGTAGGGATTTTAAGTGTTTGAATACTGTTAACAGGAGATTTGGTAAATGTTATCTCCAAACTATTAAAAATCACTAAGCTTGTTTCTTAAGAGCACAATATGTGGACTGAAGAAAAGGAGGTTCTAAGATCAGGAGCTAAGGGGTGCTAGAATGACTAAACATCAATAGAAAGAAGAATGTCAATATTACTAGAAAACTAACGAAATACAAGAGGATAGCAACATATCCATGAAGCCTGGCTTAATCATATAAAGATACCTGTTCAACCAGCTCCAAAAGAAAAGAAAAAGACTCTTTTCTCTGAAGTGATGAGTTAACACCTTGCAAACAAAAGAATTTCTTGTTTAGACCTGAATTTAAAATGTATCAGTGTTACTCTGACTGCTCTAGCAACAGCTTTAGACCAGCTGCCTAACAACCAGCCGCATCCCCCAGACTGACCTTGTTACTGGCAAGAGCGTAATTTAAGGTAACAGTGACTTGATAGTCATTCTCACAGATGGCAGCAGAAGTAATCTGTAGGGAAAGAGCAACCGAGCAAATGTTAGTATCTCTTACAAAAAGGACACAAATAATTTTTAGGAATAAGTCACAGTGATGGGCTGCTGATGTTTATTGTGGAGCCAATGCACAAAATCACACACGGCCAGTGACCTTTGCCTGTTTCTGAAGTGGCACCTGTACTTATGTGAGGAAGGGACAGGTGGCGTTTTGAGTAGCTGGGAACATCAGAATGACAGAACTGCCAAATTAATATAAAAGATGTGGTAATGCTATGTTTCATGAAAGTGTGGTCATTTTTCCACCCAAACTTTGCAGTTGCATGAAAGGCCGTGTGGTCCTTAAGATTCCCCACGCCAGAAGAAGTGGCTGCTGCTTTAGTTGTACCAGCCTGTGGAGGTACAAGCTGTACTAAAACATAAGTAACTTTCTATATCTTTAAAAGTGTAGTGCTGACGAGTCTCTTGAAGCTATATAAACAAATGGACAGGATTATACAGAATTGAAATGAAGCAGACAATGTTATATTGCAGCAGGTCGGGAATCCTGAGATAAGGTTGATTTTATCTCTAATCTGTATGATAACTGATAACAAGGCATTGAACCCAGAGAGTTGGCATCTACTTTGAAGCGCTTCTGTTATTTCTGTAGGCAGTGATTTCAAGACAATAGAATGACAAAAGGCCAGAAAAGCAGCAGGAGTAGCCAGTTCTAGGTGATTCAGGCATATCCTTCTGAATCCTCTGGCAAAGGAAATGAGTTGCAGTGGACCTACACCTCATGTCCTGTACCACCTATACCAAGCAGATATCTTTTATGTTTATATTTGCATTAGTTTCTGAACACACTGGTGTACCAAAGAGGTCTCAGATGTAATTTGGATGCAAAATATCTGCTGTTAAGCCTCCCAAAAAAATAATGTGACCAAATACCAATTACATTTGTCATCCTTAGTATTCATTAGCTTTTCTAGAGTTGTTTCTATGTGCTACAATAACTTTTTTTTGATTGATATGCCGTTTCTCTCAGGTCAGGATAAGATGTAGTGAGTTTAAACTGTAGTGGGAGATTCAGGTCAGTCACCAAGAAAGAGCTTCCCAGTATCTATGCCAGCTTAAGGAATTGCCAACCCTACTTCTGCCTGCATCCTACTTACGGCTTTTTTTTTTTTTTTTTTACTAGCACTGATGCACCTTTTTTTTTTTTTTCCTTTTCTTTTCTTTCCTTTTTTCCAACTATTTTTAGCCTGGGTCAGTTCATTGATCCCAGTAGACAGGCCATTGGCACAAGCAGTTGTGCTGGCATCACCAGGAAGCAGTGAGGGGGGGAAGCAACTCCTTAATCCAGCAGAGCTGCCAAAGAAAGCAATACAGTGCTTCAGCTGAACTGTAAAGGATAATTGAGCGCAGAAATGGACTGCCTGGGGCAATTGTGAAATCTCCATTGTTGGTGAATTTTAAAAGCTTCAAGACAAACATCTGTCAGGAACCGTTTAGGCAGAGCTGTTCCTCTCTCAGGACAGGGACCAAATGATCTCTCAGTCATTCCAGCCCTGTCTTCTAGGACTCTTTAGGCAGGGTCTCCAGTTTCCGCCTTTGGTTGCTATCACCCTTTTAATCATTATCATGCAGGTTGGTGCACTGAAGGCCACGTCTCCAGTATGGAAGGAATACACTCTTCCACTACTGGTATAGTTTACATTAGAAGTAGGCTATATAACCAAAGAGAATTACTGCTATCTGCTGGTGTAATCTAGCTCTAAGTTGGGACAAACATATCATCTAAATCCAATTTCTAGCAGGGTTTATTTAACTGACCAACTACACAGATGTCAGTTGGCTCTTCTTTTTCTTGATTGCCTGCTGCAGGATTCTGTAAAAGCAGCTGAGCAAGAGCTTTCTGGCTTCTATCACTTCTCTTATAGCTGTGAGGTGAGAGAAGAAAAGAAACTGCCATATTAAAAAGAAAGCAGAAAAAATCTTCAGTGAAAGACTAAGAAAGAAATGGAACAACAAAAACAAACATCCCCACATATAAACAAGTTTAGGTCTAAAGAAAACAGAGGTATTTATTTTTCCAGTGTTTATCTAGCAGCCAAAATATTCTTTTCATGACACTGCACAGGGAGATATTACTCACAAGGCCCTTCCTACCTTTCCCATTCGAGGTTCTCCAATCAGTGCTCTGAATTCAAGGTTGTTCTGGGCGTAGCTTCTAAGGTGAGCACAGACATGATCCAGCTGCTTTCTCCAGTAACCTGATCAGAGAGAGTTAAGCAGGAGAAAAAAATCCTTGAGATTGTGGTTAACATTTCTTCTACTCATCTGATTAAATGATTTAAAAAATAGCAGATTTTCACTGCATTCATTTCAATTTTATATGGGAGAGCGTGTTAAAAGCTTCAGCATTCCTGCTCTTTTGCCTGTCAGAATCTCTTTGAAAGAGTTACCTATACTGTTATGCTGGTACAGGGCATGAAACACTTGTTGCTCCTGTATTCAAAACTCAGCTTAAGCCATTCAGAATTTTTGCATCTATCATCCAACTACTTTCACAGCAGCTTTCTGTTTTCATTAGAGAAAGAAATAAAAGGTCTTGGTCTCATTCTTAATGATTGTTATCAGGATAAATCTATTTTTGAGCACACTTATGGGAAGTACAGCGTATGATTTATTTTGTTGTAAATAAATTGGGTAGGCAGGGTAACCTTGATTAGCTTACACAGTGAAGTTGCTCTGACCTTATCTGTCCCGTCACAGTAAGTGAAGCTCATAAGAGTGAAAAGAAGCCAAGCCAGAAGGGCTGCTCTCTGACATTTACAAGAGAAAACACAAGTGCACAGGGATTTTTGTGCTTGAAGGAGTCTTTCCAAGTCAGAGCTGGTAGAAATTATGACAAACTAAAACCGCAAGTCTTAGTTGTCAGGCAGCTTAAAGGAATATAAAAAAGAAGGATGGTTGACCCACAGAGCAACATAAATTGTAAAAAACAAGTTGAATACAAGTTGAAAATACTAATTAAAAATCTAAGCCATGGTACTACCTTACGAGTGATCCCTCCAGGGATGTCAGTATTATTTGCAATAAACTGGTTGATGACTAGCCTAGGTCCTCAGCTTGCTTTCATTAAAAAAAAAAAAACTCCAGATGGCCAGGAACATATTCTTGCACTTTTGACTTTTTATTACATCTAAAAGGCTTTTGGGCAGCGTTGATAGAATACTTCAATACATGCTGTTGCTTACACCTAGATCACACTGATTTACAGATTGTTAGAGTGGAAAAGGGGAGGTTTCTTTGTAAAGTTTACCTGGTAAATGACTTGGCTTCTGTTCAAAACAGAATGAAAATACAGCAAAAAGAAAGAAATACAGTACGCATCAGAGGATTTGTATTTTGGTGCTTTTGTTATTTCACCCTGTCCTAAGAGTTTATTTTTAATCCTCACAACAGAGAAGAAGGTTAGTTAATGGTTGATATGGTCAAGGACAGCAACAACAAATTGCTTATTAAATCACTTGCATCTAATAACTTTAATATCAAATGTCTGATACTATTTGAATTCAAGAAAAACAGAACAATCTGGCCTATGTAAACAAGATTTCTTGGTGTGATAGCATACGGTCTTGTTGATATATGTAGTGTCAAGCCCTTTAGACAGCTTAGCATCAAGGAAATAGAGCAGCAGGAAATATTTGACTGTAGCAGACGTTTATTGATTTATAGAATGAAATATATTCCCCAGGCCTTGGCAGTGTCTGAAGGAGAACGCATTACACAGTGCACCTTCAACAAAGTTGATGTTTCTAACTGGAAAAAAATTAACAAGTCTGGTGTAGGACAAAACCAGAATTTATTCCCAACCTTTCCTAGTAAATGGAGTTCTCTTACAAGTCAAGAGCTGGACTTCTGACACAGACACATGAATGTTTAGTGTTACTATTTTTTTCTCAGTATTATTGTAGGCCAGTCCTTTATGATCTCTGAATAGATTAAGCTCCCTCACATGTTGAGTCGAGTCAAATGTTTTATTTCCCACAGTCATGTCTCCAAGAGAACATGCCACATTTCAGAGCAAGCGAGTAGGAAAAAAAAATTCTCTAGTAATAATTTAAAAAACAAAAGTGCATCACGTTCATATTTATATACAGGGTCAAAACAGGAAATTCTAACATTCATTATCAGAGTTATTTATCTCTTGGGTGCTAATGGCCTGAGGGGTTGACAGCAGTCAAGTGATTCCACAAAGAACTCCTGCTGACCAAACCAGCAACTGCAAAACAAAGCAGTCTGCAGTAGTGATACAGTAGTTCCCCGCATGGATGGTCTCTGCAGTGAGACAGATACCTTAGGGGGACAGGAAAAAGGGGACTACAAGAGCTCTCAAAATGTCTACCAACCCTTATTTCTTGTAATGCTGTTAAGAATCCGTTTCTCTGTTTTAGTTTGTGTTGCTTCCAAGACTTGTATCATTTATTTCACAACAGCATTCCAAACAGATTTTTCACATAGACGTGTCTCATCGTATTTTTCAAATGCTACAACCTCCAGCACATCAGAGTTTTGTTAAATAATACTCCCAGCAGGCTCTATCGCAGTACTAACTGAACTTAACTTTTGGCATGGAATAGGGGTTGTTTCAGTGGTTTCCAATTCAAATATAGGACACGCATGCCCCTGATCTTGTGGGATCCAAAAATAAAATCAAACTACTAGCAAGCTAGTAAAAATGTACAGGACTTGTTAGCCACCACTTTGATGATTGTTGCCAGGCTTTCTTTTAGCTATTATTGGAGATCTGTGATCTAATTTCTAAGGCACTGCGTTTCCAGTTGGAAAGACAGATTTGTAAAGAAGTTAGTGACCTGCTGATGGCACATTCCATAGACTATAATCTTATGAAGAAAAACAAACTCATATTTCACAGCTTTGTTTTGAGTAAGAATTTTTCTTTATGATTACATAAAATCAAACTCTTCCTAACCTTTTCCGGGACTGATGGCTGTCAGGAGAGGCTTACGATCACTCATTTTCTCCAGCTTTTCTTTGTGTAAAATCAGCTCAAGTTCCTTCTTTTCCAACAGTTTGCTAGATGGGTAAAAAAGTCCAATGGTTTGGGTTCCTTTATCTTCTGTTTCTTTTAGATCTACTCGTGATTTGGACAAGGAAATAGGAAGAGACTGCCAGGCAACTTGAGCTTGAAGTGGTTTAGTCTGTGGGAGAGTGTGGAGGGGAAGAAAAAGTGTAAGTAACATAAGTAGATATAATTAAATGACTTACAAGCAAAAATAAACTAAAAATTGTAAAGAATGACAAAGCTAGAAGGGAGAATCATTAACGATTACTGATTATAATTACCAATCAGTAACGATGATGTGATTTATCACAAATATTCAAGAAAGCAAAACTCTTCATGACTGTCAGAAGAATCAGGTTCTTTAGCTGTCCTTGCTAAGTGTTATGGTCTCTTCTTAAAACACAGTTTTCAATGCATGAAGGATTACTTTGTATTAGTAGGACACAGTAATTCATAAGTAGTAAGATAAAATACTTACAGAATGAAAACTTTTGAAAAACTGCTAGTTTCCCACTTTGATATTTAGAATGAGGCTTTTAAAGCCTTTGGCTAAGGCTACATTTTTGCAGAAAATGGCTCTCAGAATAAACATATGCTTGGTTTTGGTCCAGAATTCACACAGAAATATCTTAAAACAGAAGTTAAGCTGTGTTGATTTATACCAGTAGTGGACTGGCCTATCCTTTAGCTGTGTTCAAGCCTGACTTTGTAATACTGTGTGTCTTACCTCAGAAAACCTCAGCGAGTCCCCAGCATCCATGAGAACTCCATTCTGGGAGCTCACCCTTGATGGAGGCTCTATGTAAACACCACAGAACGCACAGAACCGAGCATATGGACGATTGTCTGTACCACACTTGAAACAAGAAAAGTAGCACGGAGGAGGATCAGGCTGGAAAGTTTAACGAAACACTTGTTACTACAGAAACGTACGATGAGCATTTCAGGAGAGATAAAAACAATGACACAAATTAAAAGGAAGCAAAATAAGAATACCTAAAGTGGTTAGAATAGTAACTAGGGTACCAAACTGTTAACACACCAGCAGATGCAAGACAGTGAATCTTTAGTGATCTCAGCACTGTGTTAAGGAGGCAAACGTTTTTTCCAGACAGATTTACTATTTTGGTATATTATTTTTAATGTATACTTCCAAAAACATTTATGTTCTTTGTCAAAACCCTGTCATTACTAGTGTGGTGCTCTAATACCAAATACTGACTGAAACCCTTCCAGTTTTAAGCTTTTGAGCTTTCCTGGAACAGTATAGATAGCAATAATTGTGCATGCATGCAGGGGACTGCTTAAAATTTTATGTAGACTCAGCTCATGTTAAAAAAAAATGTTATTCTCCACCAGTGTGATGTTACCTTGAAACACTACAAACAAAATACATGCCCAAAGAAAATGTTCACGTTGGTTGTACCATGCAAAACTCAACAGAGCATCAGTTGACAAAACACTTGTCTTTACTGAAGTTAATGAGGTCTTCAGCCAAAAGAACCACATGCATCATCTTATCTCTGGTAATTCCCTGTACAGATGATCATGGCCCAGTGTAGTTGTAGGAAAACTTGAGTTAGGTTAGCCTATGCTTTAGCCTTTGATGGATAAGCTACTCTGGTGGAGTACGCAGCTAATGCATCTTATCTGATGCAATGAGGTGATGCTCGTTGGCCCCACAGCAATTTATTTACATCTCTAAAACCCTAAGTCATTGACAAAAGTAGGGTCAAGAACTTTTTAATTAACCTGAGCATTTAATGTTTCTTTATATTATCCTATGTGCTTTAAGCAAGTATTTTGATAATAATAAGCTATGTACTAACTGGTAAGAGTTTTGTGAATAGAAGATTGAAAGTGTTTCAGCTCATAGATGAGTAAAACCAGATTTGTCAACGCAAACACCAACAGCATGTACCTTGGCTCCACACCAGTCACAGAAACGAGCATCACACTGGTTAACACGATTGCATTTTGAGCAGGAAATTGTCTTCCCTTGCTGGCTGCTATAAGGTGGGGGGGTATCTCTTTGAAGCACGTGCTAGCAAAACAAAACAAACATCAGGCAGAAGCCACTTCTTATAAAGAAAAGTTCAGTAGCTAACTAAGGCAAAATAGAAAATTAAACAACTTTGATAAAATAATGTGCAGTCTAAAATAATTATTTCAATGTAGAATAAGCAACAGACTGATTTTGATCTAACTTGCAACATTTCAAAAGCACTGTAAAATGTGGCATTAATTTGTTTGATTGTTTTAGTAGGAATAAGTGCAAAAAAATTATTTCCTTATCAGTTGTGTCCTTAATTTATATTGAGTACTTTATTAATATGGCCCAATGTGTAAGTACACTTGAAATAAACAGGGAGGTTGCTCTGCTGATAAACTTGTACTTTCAAATCCAAAACACAACTGCTATTTTTCTTACTACCTTTTAAAGTCTTTGTTGTGGTATGGTGGGAGGAGTGTGTTCAGAAAACAAGTTTTTTTTCCCAGTTTGATATTTGCTACATAAATATTTTTGTACCCTTTTACCTCATACAAGTTATATATTACCTAGTTTTCCCACTACAATTAACTTATATGGGTATACAAAAGAAAACAGATTTTTCAGCTGAAACTTGGAGGTTGAGTATAGATCCTAGCTAGGACAAACAAGTCTTAAAATGTTTTGTTTGGTTTTGCCTCAGGAGTCTAACAGGGATATAAGTCCAAGCATGTTATTAGTCTAAATTATTTTATAACCATTAACAGTACTTAATGGTTATTAATAATAATAGTAACCAGTTTCATTACTAATGATCAATTATTTAGGATTTGTTATTGGTCATCACTAATTACTAATTAATCACTATAACTAGTAACATTTGTGATTGCTATTAATAGTAATTCAGTGAGCAGTGAAATTTCTCTTAGCTTCTACAGAGCTCGCCATTAAAGTCATATGCCTAACTTTATGTGGTTACACATTCACATCTGCATTCAGTGAAGCAGTTAAATACATGATTATCTTCTTTAATAGGTACAGATTTCATCTGAAATTCACTTTGAAATGACCCTTCACTGGCTGAAATGTGGCCTAAGTGAAATATATCTTAAGCTTTTTATATAAGACCTCTTTTTACCAAGGAATCCAATAAGTAAGTAAGCTAAACTGGGAGTTGAAACAGACAGTGATTTTAGGGGAACATTGATTGTGTTTCTCCCCTCAGTGCAGAATCACTGACAAATACAAGCACAGTAGCTGTATGTGCATAGGGGCAGCAGCAAATTGAGTTAACAAAAATAAGGTAAAAGATTATTTTGTTTTCAAAAAGTAATTGAGATGAATGAGAATGATCTTTTGGATGTATCAACTCAAGTTCTGTATTGCAATTAATGATTTGGATACCAGCAGGACTCCCAAAGAGTCTCTGTTTTTTAAGTGCATTCTGAGCTTTGCAATCCTGACTTCCACAGGAGAAATTTGGAGGTGTAGGGTATATTTATAATATTTAGCATGGTATTTGTGATGGCATATCAGTGAGAGTTCTGGTCTGGAACATGGCGTGTGGGAGGGATTCTCTGCTTTTGTAATATAGGCACAAAGGGATAGTAATTCATTTTTCAAAAGAAAATAACTTTATGTTTTGACTTGAGTAACCCAACTGCAATTGATGCAAGAAGCCTTACCATCTGTGCTTCAGGCAGTTTGCTTTCACAAGTCACACAATATTTATGGTGAAGAGGATTTCCTGTGCCGCATGCCTGACAAAGTACTTTGCCCTTTTAAATAGAAAAAGAATATGTTTCACATGGTATTTGAAAACTGTTAGCAACAATAATAAGAAGAGGACTTGATCACAGAAAGTGCTGTGGTTATTCAGCTCTGCAGACAGAAGAGATCCTTCAAGTCTGTGCTGTGGAGTTAAGTTTTAGTTGAGCCATATTGCCTAGTCATCACAAATTTGCGTATCTTGGTGCCAGTTTTGTTTAAGCTGTGGTACAGGTCACTTGGGAGATCTGTTATCAGTAACTCCAGATCTTTTTATACATTAGTTTCAGATTGCTTCGTCAATTACCTTCAAGCAGATGTTGGTTTGGGGCTGCAGCTGTGGAGCTATTGGTGACTCACATACAATGCAGGTGGGAGTATTCATTGGCACGAGATGTCTGCATTCAAGACATGGTGCCATCTGAAAGAAGACACATTGTACCTTATTAAGGACCGTGATTAGATCATTAAGTTTATCGTGAGATTTTCAATATTTTGCTTATTAAAGTCTATATCAGCAGCAGTCACTGTAAACACAGCAATTGACTGGAAAATGGTGCTGATATAAAGGTCAAAGGCTATTGAGAAATCACAAAGACAACCAGAATGAGAATGCTTTAGTGATGACTATTATGTGTGCCAGAAAAGTGTTGAATTACTTTTCAGTAGATTTAAATGCTACCATAATGTGTGTGTAGGTATTTCAAATCCTTCTAACTATGAACCTCATCTAAAAAGGTGCTGAATATTTTCAGTCATCGCTTGAGACTACAGCATTGTTCCAGACAAGACATCTTTTTGAGGATACAGAAAAAAAAAATCACCTTTGACTTGTTAGATAGGGTTACTATTTCATGAGAAGAGATCACAGAAGACAATTATAGGCAGCACTGTAAAAACTCAGGGTGTTCTTGCATATGCACACATACCACTGTTAAAATCTTCAGGCAAACTAGATGGATCTTCTACAGCTATGACACAAATACTAGTTACTAACTCCACTAGTCAGCACTGGAGTAAGATGCACATGCAGATCCTGAAGATGTAGTGGTGGTTGTTGCAGGAAGTTGAATTTGGTGATGTTTCCCAACAGAAGTGAATAAAACACAAATTTACCTTTTTGATGTTATCCTTATTAAAATATATGGCACTTGAAGTAATCCATGGTTAATTTTGTCCATCATTTAAGAATTACTTTGGATCCACTGCTGAAGTTACAAAACAAATTAAAACAAAACAAGCAGAACGCCCTAAAAGAAACTGTGACTAAATAGTGAATATGTAGTTTGCTGAGGAAGGTTGGTCCTATGAAGAGGATTTGTTGTGTTATGATTTTTGCTGACCTGTGCTCCTTCAGGGGGCGGGAAGTGACGTACTGGCACAGGTGGGATAGGAGATCCACATTCCTGGCAGAAGTGAGCCAAGGGGTCAGACAGGCGAGGTGCAGAACAGTGTGCACATCTGAGAATAAGAGCAAACTAGCTCAGCTTGTTTTGGTATTTTTTCTAATTTGAAAAGATAGCTTTTCCTGTGATCGTACAAGCGTTAGGAATTTTTAAAAGGATGGTAAGAAAGTTTATAATATTAAACACTGATATGAAAATAAAATTATATATAAGAGAGAGAATTTTCAAAACACTGAACTAGATCATATTCTGCTGCTATAAGCCAGTATCTGCTTTGTCTTTCCTAATTTTTAATAGAGTCTCACAGTATTATCAACTTGGTTGCTAGTAGCAATTGCTCCGTTACCTTCCAAGGACAAAGATGTTAAAAGCAGAAGTCACTTACCTGAGGAAATTCGTCTCCCTCTGGATCCTTGCCACCTGTGTGCTTGCTATGCTTTTTCGGCTAGTCACCACAGAAGAAGTAGCAAACTGAAAAAAAGGCAATTCTTTAGCATTAATTAGCTAATGTTTGCAAAATGCATAGAAGATACACATAAATGCATCTAACAGATTCAGCTAAAGACATGTTATTTGAGTTAAAGTGCACTGAAACGCAGTGCATTAAAGAGCATCTACTGCATCTTGATTCCCCCATTAGCTGTTTTAAGGACCCACATCCTTTTCTTCTAATTCTTCTTCAAAAAAATATTTACTTCCAAGTGAGCATTACTATATCTTAAGTTTTATATATTGCTAATTGCAGATTCAGTAATGTATTAGAAGAGGATTAGTAGGAATGCAGGCATTGCTAATTTGCCTTGCCTCGTTTTGTCTTTATTGATAACTCTGTACTGCTTCGGGCATCCCTATTCCAGCGTGTCATTACCTATACATTTAAAGTAGTGCCATACAGTACAGTCCAAAGTATTTGCTTCTGAGAGATTATATGAAAACGATCACAAATTTTCAAATCTTTGCATTTTTTAGAGCTCAGTTATTTTGATAAACTTTTATGTTTTAATTCAACACCCCTCTGCTTGCCTGTAATGACTCTGTTGGTAGTGCTGAGATGGATTCCTCTCTGCATCCTGTTGTTTCCAAATGGCAGTTCAGGAGCTGTGGTCCTTGCAGGGACTTGTGATAAGTCTTTTTTTCTGTTTCCAAGTCTAAAATTACAAACCTGTTATTCCACTGTCATTCACTTCATGGATTTAAGAATATATGTTAATATGAACATTATATGCTCTCAAGTTTTATGTCCCAATAGGCAAGCATGTTTCTAGTCATTATTCCAAAATTATTTTCAAATCCATATTTTGGGTTAAAACAAACTCCATGGAATTGCAGGAAGTTAAACTAGAAGAAACCTCATTCCTCTCTAAAAGAGCATACTTTTATATTTTTCTCAGTTTAGGCTTTTCTTCCTTCCTACATTGTCAAAAAATCCATCTTATAAGAGTAAATTAATTCGTAAACATTAATGTGATTCCCTACTCTTAAACAGTCCCATTCCTGTGACCATGGGATAAAAGCCCTTATACAGGAAATCTGGGTCAAGCTTTCATTTTTGCTTTGTGTATTTATTTTGGAATCTTACTGCTGGCAACACTCAAATATCAGTAAAAAAAAAAAAAAAAAAAAAAAAAAAGTAAAGGATTTGCAATCCAATCAATTTAACAGCATTTTCTGGCACAAATGGGGGCCTTGTTATGTTGCTCAAACTGAACAACCTTTTTTAAAATGTTTTTAAGAGGCAATTTGATATGTGTAAAGGCAATTTTTGTTCTCTATTTGCAGTGCTAAGAACTGGAAATTGGAATTCCCAAAAGATGTTTAGTCTTTTGAGGTGGTTTTGAAACGACCTGTATTTTAATAATGATATAAGATGAAAACCTTACCCTGTCTACTTTCAGCTAAGAGAGAAGTACATTTCAGCTTTATGAAGTAACACCGCACCTTGAAAATCTTGGGGTGCTTCACTCCAGGCAGGTTTGATTTCCCTGTTCATTCCATTTTTCTTTGACTTTGTAGTAAACAATCCATCTTCCCTCTCCTAAAAAGTAATTCCAATTGAATTCCAAACAATATATGCATATATATTTGCTCTAATCCTTTTTTCCTATAGGTGTTTGTTAGGATTTTAGGATTTTTAAAGGTTAAGGTTCTTATTTTCAGTGCAAGACTTTGAAAGGCTTAAATTATAAATGCATTTTAAAAATGAATTGGTCAAGAAAGACCAGTGAAAAAAAAGAAAATATGTTGCCTTGAACTTTTAGTATTACCCAAAGGACTGAGGCAGCATAGATGGACAAACAGGGAAAATTAAGTATATAAAAAGTATAGGTTATCAAGATTTAATCTTTAAGTAATCTCATACATACAACTCTTTAAATTCAGACAAGGGGTTACAATTGTTAAAACTTGCCTGTGTGGTGACAGCTTTTAGGAAATTCTTGTCATTGTCTTCAACAGAAGAGATGTTTGGTTGCTTGTACTCTACCAGAAACACCTTTGTTACAACAGTACTCTCCCTGCAGTCCCTGAAAATCAATGTTCACAAAGCTATATACATGTCATGAAGCCACGTGCAGCAAAAAGTAAATCATTGGTGAACATGGTTCTTTTTTATTTAAAGTTAAAAGTGAGCACAACAAGTTATCAATAAAATGTATTAGTATTTTAATCCCTCAACATCTTTTACCTGTAAAACTCCTGATACTGCTGTGTCTGCTTTCTGAGGTAATTACTGTTTGCCAGAATTGCAGAAAACAGAGGACAGCCAGACTTTTCTTCCATTCATAATACCATATTCATTTTCCCAGCCAAGCACCAGGTAGCACACTATTAATTTGATATAGCAACTGTATTTCTTAAGCATTTCTTAAATTACAGCAGTAATGTTAAAAGGCTTGTGAATGTCGAAACCATTCATTTAGGATTTACTGTCATTCTAGAGCATCTATTTCTCCCACCTGAAAATGTCTTAATGAAAACATACTGGAAACAAGTGTTAATCCAAGAAAATACATCCAGGCCTAGACTTTGCATGTCCCTGCACAAGGAATATAACGTTGTAATATTCCAGTACAGATATAAGCACAGGCAACCTGCAGGTGCTAATAGAGGAGAACAGCAAGTCCAGATTCCCAACTGGACTGGGTATTTCTGTCCCCTTTGAAAAACAGGATAAAAATACAACAGAGAATGCATGCATTCCCTGTCTCTAGGCATGAAGTTAGGAGAAAGTCAGTGTCTGTGTAGCAAAATCCATTTCTCTGGAATGTTGCATTTTTACTTTACTCTTGTGCATGCAACATTTTTCTTGAGCTGTGGGGTCTGCCATTCTGTGCCCCTTCCAGAGTAACTATGCAAATTCCTGGGAAGACCAGCTTTTTTAAATCTGTTGAATCGTTGGATGACTTCTGATGGCAGAAAATACCACGGTAGTCCCTCTGGCATTTTGATCACGTTGACAGATGAACTTTGAGTATAGTGTATTTTATTAATCTCTCACCCACAGCCTGTATGGATCATTGGCCTATATCCATGTCACAGAATATAAAGATCCTGGAGATAATCCATCTCCATAAACAATGAATAAAAAGTGTTATGAGAAAGTGAAGACTGCACCCATAAAGATCACTTAGGTTGCAAACTGGCTGGGGAAAGAGTTGTCTCTCATTTTCCAAATACAGGGTAGTTTAAACAACATGGCTCTAAGCCGCTACTGGGATATCAATCCCCTGACAAAATAAAACTAAAAGAAACCAGGATACTTACTTTGTAACTGCAAGTGCCTTGACCATGATTTTCCCAACTGGTAATATGATAGGACTTTTATACTTAAAAGTGTTGTGCTCTCCATAGCCAAGTTTCTTACTGGGTTCTGGTTTACTTCCATCTAATGTGTAATAAATGGAGACCTCAGGTGTATCTGAAAGACAGAGAAAGTAATTAGCTAAACTGTGTGAGAGCTGTAATAAAAACAAACTCCACACCTCTGGAAATCCTCTCTACTGTGCTTGATTTTTTTCCCATAAACAGAATAAAGCAGTTGTATAAATGACTGAAAGTTCATGACCAAAATTGTTTCTCCCATGAAAAATTGGTTCATGACCAAAATTGTTTCTCCCATGAAAAATTGGTTACTAAATGAATACAATTTCAATTGTACGCAGTATTTCTCTTCTTAAAGTAGCTGTACAATGGTTTTGTAGGGAAACATTGCAAAAACTCATCTGTTCTAAAAACAAAAAAATATATTTTCTCCTACGATGAAATGTGGAATTGTAAGGAAGTCCTTTAGGGTGAGCCTAGCACAGGCTACTTTCAAGTGCTATTTTTGCAGTCACAGCAAAATGCAACAACTTAAAGAGCTTGATCTTGAAAGCAATTAAGACCGCTAACATAGAGGAAAACCCCCCATGTCAATGACATTGTTTGAATTAATAAAATCAAGTGCAAGTGTGTTTGGTGTATCAAAACACAGTTAATTTTATAAGTTACTCAGGGAAGTGGATATTCATAAACGTATGATAAAAAAAAGTTTCAAATGGTCACATAAGAAAATGTTTTACATAGAGTCAAAGCTATTATTCGTACCTGATTTTATTTCTACGAGAGTATTTGTATCTATTTCATGTTTAGCCTTCCCTGGAAGAGGGATTCGAAGTGGTATGACCTGAGGAACTGAGACAGAGCCCGCTGTCATTTTTCTCACCAGTGATCTTTAAAACAGAAAAACAAAAAGGCTGACAATATTTTTTTTTACAGAAGAATGCATTAAGAAATGTGGTCTTTTAATGTAATTCCTCATCTTCATTTGTTTATTTTAGGAGAGAGAACACTGGATACTTTAAACTGCTCACTCATTAATATTTATATATTTTTCACATTGAAAAAAAATAAGATCCTAACCATCATCACACTTTTGACATTTTCTCCTTGAACAAAGCCTGAGATGAGTTCTGTTGCCTTTATTTCACTTCAGCTTTCCTTGCTCACGACTGACTTCCAAGTATTCAAGTGAAACAGCTTTAGCATCATACATCAGTGATACATGCTAAGAGGGAACAGTGAAGTATCCTGACCCTAATCATTAAAGATATGGTATCATTTTCTCTGCAGGAAGAACAAGCTACTTGTTTTGTTGTGGCCACCTGAATGGGTGTCAGGGCAATGCAAGAAGATGTCCTGACGAGGGCTAGAGAGAGACAGCTATTCCTTAAGCTTATCTCATTTGTGGTATGCATTGAAAATATACCTATAAAGCACGTGCCAAACTTAATTTATCATAATTTACATATGATGGCGTTATCTCAGCCAAAGCTCTCTTGTGCTGCATGCACCCTGTGGCAAAGTCACCTCAGGGCGTGCGGATCAGACCTTTACCTGACACCGGGGGCTGTGACCCGCTCTCCTCAAAGCCTCACCAGCTCTTGGCGCACACCTAGGGCAGAAGCACGGGGTCCCCGGTCAGCATGGTGGGAGCCCACCAGGGGGACAGCACAGGTCACAGGAGACAGCATCAGCCTCACCAGGCCCCCGTGCCCCTTCCTCGCACCACACAGCCCCGCTCCATCCCCTCACACTGGGTCCCGGAGCAGAGACTTGCCTACCCCTCGGCATGCAGACAGCCCCTGCTCACCCCCACCGACCCCTGCCCGCCTCCTTGATCCCTGCCTTCGCCACTCGATCCCCCCCATGTTACCACAGACGCCACCATCCCGGCTTAGCAACCGCCCCGTCCCGCCCCTTGCTCCCCGCCCGGCTCCGACGCCATCGCTGCGCGCCGCGGCGGCGCCATGGCGGAGGTGCGGGTGAAGCCGGAGGCGCCCGACCCGGTGGACATCGAGAGCCGGTGGGTGAGCTCTGCTCTCCTCGCCCCCAGCCTTTGGGATGTGGCAGGATAGGGTTTTTAACCTCGCTCTCCTCCCTCCCTCCCGCAGGATAATCGAGCTGTGCCACCAGTTCCCTCACGGCATCACCGACCAGGTGATCCAGAATGACATGCCCCACATGGAAGCCCAGCAGCGAGCCATGGCCATCAACAGGCTGCTCTCCATGGTAGGTCCCCCCGGTACTTCAGGCACCCTGTGCCACTCGTACGGACGGGCTGTGTGGTGGCAGCCTGCCAAAACGGGGCTGGTTGGAGTCAGTGGCCTTTGCTGTCATTTTACGGTTAGCACAGCTTCTTCTTGGTGGCCGTAACCACGTAGGGTCTCCATTACCAATTAAACATACCTCAAAATTTACTGGTTCTGTTCTGTAACAGAAAGTTAACATCCAGTGTGTATGTCTGCTTGTCTAGGTTAGGAAGCTAACACCAAGAAGTAACACGTTAGTCTTCTGATGTGTGCAGAATCCTTTGCTCTTCCCCCCATGTACTACTTTCTGTATTTACTATGTAAAACAGAATGTGATACAGCGCTCTTGTGTGTAGCAGTCAAGTGCAAGTGTAGTTACTGTGGGGTTAGTCACAGTGATAACAAGGCCTGGTTCTGGAAGTAACCTAACCTACCTCATTTTGTTTTTCCTATCTATCAATATGTGTATCAGAACATTGGCTGCAAGCTTTTTTGTTCAATAGCTTTTGAATTGGTTGTCCAGATTTCAGAGTGAGGCTTCGAAGACAGCTAAGCCTCTAAAACTTGTTTAAAATAGATGTCCTGGGGAGTGGGATGCGGGGGGAGATCTAGTAAGTGCCTTATGGTAGGGGAAAGAGCTGTGGTGAGAGCTAGGCCTTAATAAGCATCTGGGAGATAAGCCGTAAGTATTTCTTCTGTAGAAAAGCATTGAGAGGGATCGTCCTGAAGTGAGAGCTCCATTCAATTACATAATCCAAATCTGTAAGAAACAAGACTGTAACTGTGGGGAGGGGATCAAATAGCAACAGAAGAGCAAATGTTAACTAATGATGTTATATGCATGTCCTTCAACTTGTCTAATTGCTTGTCTCTTTCTCCAAACACAGGAAATAGGAATTTGCCTGGCTAAGGCATAGCAGGACAAGTCTTTTGTGTATGAGATGCTAGTAATTCTCAGTCCTGGCTGTCGGTTTTCTAGTGATCAATACTTAAGCAAAAAAACAAAACAACACAACAAAACAAAAAAGAAAACAACCTTTGCTACTGGAAATTAGAACTGTTTGAAACCCTTGTTCAGTAGAGCTCTAACATTTTTTCTGGATGGCCATGCGATTGAGTATTTTGTTGGGAAGCAAGAGAAATGTATACAAGAACTTGGTGCTCCTTGTACAACAGTAAAATTTAGGAGAAAGAACAGGAAGTACACAGATGTTGTGGGAAGAGGCTGGAACCGTATCTTTCTTTTTATTTTTTTTTCTGATAGCTAATGATAAATGGATACTCATAGGGAAAAAGAGCCTTAATGGTATCATT